GGATCAATTTCTAGACAAAATACTGTTTTGAAGCAAAAAAAATCATTTTGAAAACATCAAAATGGAACATTTAATTTTCTCCTGTTCTTTGACTGAAACTAGTTTCCAAATTCAGCATGAATTTGTGAATAGGTTAGTTGATGCAAAGCTGTATTTTTAACAAATAATCCATTCATGTGAACAATTTGCCTAGCTCTAACACTTTTACAATTTGTGCTGTACTCTTTTTGTCAGAACTGTTGTTTTAAATTACCTTTCTTATAAGACCATCTTTCATTGTACATTTTGAAAATATTAAACAATATACATTTTGAAAAGTCACATGGTTTTGTATAGTGAAAGGAAATGTGAGCAACAGCATATAAAATTCTTCCCCAGTTACTTTACATAATGTTTTCTGGAGTGTGATTTGCAGAGGAAGATAATACAGAAGAATGCAATGTGAAGAGGTAGAATGCCCCTAAGAACTGTGGAAGTTTTAACACTGAATTTTTAATTGATTGTAGCATAACTAACTGAATTTAATGGATCTAAATTTTAAGACTCAATTTACTATGAAATGAGTGATTTTATTTCTAAAATCGTCTCCCCCTATAGAAATAATTCTTTCATAGACATTACCCATATTCATAGTGGGTGTTTTGCAAATCTCTGTGTTGTTTGTATTAAAAGTAGACTAAAATCATATGAAATCTTTTTGCTCACTTGGTGCAGTGATCTGCTTTGAAACATCTGTAATGACACTACATAAGGCCATAATTCAAAACAGTTTAATATGCATTTAGAACACAGCTGTAGCATTTGGTTTCAATGTAACTATCAAGATAATTAAAATTGGCTTCTGATTATTATCATCATGCATATATATTTAACTACACTTGTCAAATGTAATTTTTCATCACCTTCTGCCAAAACAGAAAATGTAATCACAGAAGTTTGTCTGGTTTTAATCTCTCTCTTTTGCAATAAGTGCCCCTATACTGAGCAACAAGCTTGTTAATGTCAATCAGCCTACACTTCTTGTAGTGCCCAACAGGTTGTCTATATCCTATATCAGTCAAATATGTACCCTTTTTTACATCAGTCCAGTATGTAGCATTTTCTTCATGAAGCAGCAACAAAGGAAGCATAGTGACCTAGTAACCACAAGGTTAAGATCAGGGGAATGTCTTACTCAGGTATTTTAATCTTTTCTCTGCTTCAGTACTCTTGGAAGCCACTAACAAAAAGATATTCAATTGTCATCGTAATACAAGTGCAGGTTAATTCAGCAAGAGTATAATGATAGAGGGAGTCAGAGGCAGAATTTTATTGAATTTAAATCTTAAGCTAAGGTTCTATTTTAGTTTTCATATTCTTTTGAAATATACTAAATCTTCGGGGCTAAGTAGAGACAGGCAAAAAGCTGTAGTCAGAATTGATTCAATTTAGGCAGCTTCCTCTAAGCTGCTTATGTTGAACCAATAACCAACTGAACTGACATTCAGTTTTCAATTGGGAAAGGCAGGGGGAGGCCTGCACTGACCCAGGTCAGTAGGCAGGAGGTACTAGAGTAAATCTGCCAGCCTGCGGGCTATTGCCAGCCCAGCCAAGTATCCTTGATTGACTCCCCAGTATATGCCCCCAACCCTGTGCTATCCTTCAGAGCAGGTTGAGGAGCCCCTGTCCAGGTGCTGGCAGCCCTGGAGAGATGAGGGGAATTTCCCCCCTCTCCCTTCCCAGCTGCTGATTGCTTCAGCCACTGCCACAGGAGGGAGGGAAAACGAGTCCTCCCAGCCAGATGCCTGCCAATGCTTCCCCCAACCCTAGCCCTGGGTCCCCCAGCCCTGGGCAGCCCAGGGAGCTGAGGGCAATTGTTCCCCTCCTGAACTCCAGAGCTGCTTGCTTTAGCCCCTGCAAGTCTCAGGTGGCCTCAGGGAGTGAAGGGAAATTCTTCTGCTCCCCTGCAACTAGTTTTGCCTCAGACTCACAGCAGCTGATGCAGGACTGGCTGTAGAGGAACAGAAGAATTTCCCTCTGCTCCCTGAAGTTGCCTGGGACTCTCAGGGGCTAAGGCAAGCAGCTCTGGGCTTTGGGAGGGGAATAATTCACCTCAGCTCCCTGAGGCTGCCCTGGGCTGAGGGAGCCGGGGTGGGGTGAGGTACCCATCCAGAAGGATTGTTTCTTCCTTCCTCCTGTGACAACTGCTGAAGCAATGAGCAGCTGGGAAGAGGGCAGGGGGAGGGCTGCCAAAGATCCAAAAGCCCCCAGTATGGGGGCTTTCCTTCCCACCATGTGCTGTGTAGACTCTGGCTAGAAGGTGGGGGGGTGTTCCTCTGCCTCCCCCCATCCCTATGGGCTGAAGAATGCAGGCAGGAAGCAGGCTAAGGAGCAGAGGGGAGTGGCAGTCCCTGCTCCACTGGAGCAGACAGCATAGCCCAGGCCTGCAAAGCATCCTGGGATGATGGGGACTGTGGGTTAACTTGAACCAGGAAGGGATCTGGGACAGAATTTCCAAAACCTGGTTTGACCTAAATCTGTTAAGTCTGCTACTGCATCCAACCAAGTTTGTCTTAAACTGGTTTTGGCCATTTTGAAAGTGGTTTATGTGCACCAAACTTCTTTTCTGTTACAGGTTTAAATCAGTTTCCATTCACTTAAACTGGTTTATGTGTAACTTCTATCCCTAGGCCAAGTCATTCTTAATTTCAGAGGGTTATTGTAGCTGTGGTGGTTCAGGAAATATATGAAAGGTGAAGGGGTTTTTTGGAGATAACTTTTATTGGACAACTGGATAGTTGCGGGAGATGTTAAATCTGGGAAAGCAGCACACATAGTTTGACCTATGGAGGGGAGCTAAATAATGGAGAGGACAACAGCCTGTGTACAACTACATGTGTAAATGAAAACAAAATCTGCTTGAAGGAATGAGGAAGGGCTGTGAAATAAGAGCAAAGAGTCTGGAGTAGCTCCAAAACAAGAGAAGTTGCATTACAATGGATAACTAATTGTATAGAAGAGCAATACCATCCAAGTGGGAAAGGGACTATTAACTCTTAATTCAGTTTCTTTAGCAAAGTCCAAGGTTTGGCAACTTTTTGCCCATGAAGGCCACAAGTCACTGCCTGACCCTCCCCCAGAGCGGTAGCTATCCACCCTTACTCTCTTTACTGATCCCCACCCCCACACACCTCTTTTGCAGTGAGGCTAAGTACCAAAACACTGGAGCAGCAGGCTGCACGGTAGAGGAGTGCACTGCGAAGAGGATGAGCGGCACAGGTTGCTAGCTTATGACCTAATGAGTGTGGTTCAGGTCTATTTGAATCCAGGAGTCAAAAAAAGGAAATTAGGTCCAAAATCTGATCTGGAGCCTGACTGAATCTGTTAAGCCTGATTAGTGCTCTGTGGTGCACTATTATATGTTATATACACCCGTGGAAGGATGAGCCTGCAAAGATGAAATTTGGTTTTGTAGCACTTTTATGCATATTTTGCACAACTGCAGGGCATGAGGCAGTGGAAGTCATGTCCAATGAGAACCTGGCCTGAATAAAAAACAAAAAGGCTTTTACCCCGTGTATGTAATGATGAGCAAAAGTCCTGTCAGCAGCAATGTGTTTTTATTGTATCTTGCCATGGATTCCAGTAAAGATGCCAAAAGTACTTTTGAGACTCCAAAACTACTGGAATGATATAGTCAGTTATAATAATTATAGGTGGATCCCTAGGGAATGTTTCCTATTTAAACTTAACTGCTGTTAGTTTTAGATTACAGAAAGGGATGATTTTTTTTTTTACAAAGAAATACTAAATACACAAAAAAAGATGTTGGGACATATATTTTTTAACAGTTCAACACTGAGCAGCTAATCCAGCTCATTCACCTGTACTCTGTTACTGGAACCCCTTGTCTTCCTTAAGGTTGAATTCAGTTCTAGATATATATCTTTTTAAAAAAAGGAAATTCATGTGGAAACTGTATTTAAAAAGTGTTAACTTCATGCTTGGCAGCCTTACTCTGTACACTTTGAAATAATTAAGATTGTATCCTGTCATTAGTAGTAAAAAGGTGTAATAAGTCAACACAGCAGCTTAAACAAACCAGCCATTGTGTCAACTGAATTCAAATCTTAACTCCCTGTTAACTTAATTAACTAAATTCAGATACTGCATCCAAACCCATAAAGGTAATATGCCTCAGCCAAAACAATTTAGTCTATACAACGCGATGTATTGTGTACTTTTCATAAAATTCCCTCAGCCATTCAGGTACCATTCAGGAGGATGGTGAGGTGGAAATCCTAAAGGGAGAGTCAGACATGGCACTCTTTAATTAGTACTTAATATTTAAGTGCTTTTTAAGGGATCTGGTTAAATAAAATACTTCATTAAACATTGATTTTTAGTAAAATGTACAATTTTATTTTCCTTAGACTGTTTTCAAGTTAATGCAGCATTTTTAGAACTGTCAGTTGCAAAGGAGAATGGAATTGTACTTCTATATAACAAGCACAGCATCGGAGAATTTTCTTTACTTCCACCTATATGCCAAATGTTATCAGGGAAGAGGGGGTCACCCTGTAACAAGGGTGGGAAAGGAATTTCACGCCCCTTTCAGTACAGGAAATAATTGCAATGGTGTTTCCTCTAGAAAATACTATCTTCTAGAAATCAGGTATAGATCTCTTAAGTTTGGGCAGCTTTTAAGGCTGATGCCATCTATCCCCAATATTTTTTTTAGGACATTTGCACAACAATAGCTTTGATTGATCAAAATAATGTAAATCCTTTCAATATTTGTACAATGACTAGTAATCGCTTATATTGTAATTACATAGAAATAAGATACTTCATTACAGTTTTATAAATTACTTATATTCTTTCATCGTTTGTCATGTTCCAGTATTTTTAGGTCTATTCTCTACTACTTTTATTTTTTTTTAAATATGATGCCAAATTAATTCAGGGGAAAGTATTTTTAGAACTAACAGATATTACTTTTGTTTTTTCATTCCTTACAGTGTGAAGGGAGCAGATGCCGGCAATGGGATCCGAGTGTTTGTTCCAGATATTGGGATGTTCATTGCTAGCTTGACCATATGGCTTGTCTGCAGAAAAGTTGTTCAGAAACCAGTGACAGAGGATGCAGCCCAATACAACATGCAATTTGAAAATGAAGAAATGGTATTAAATACACACGTTTACCTTACATATACCTTTTTAGCTAGTACTAAATTGGGTGTTTGTCTGAGTTTTGTCTGGAAACCATTTCCTAAGAATTGGTTGTGTTCAAGTGAGCTTGGTTTCACAAAATAAAATGAATTATTTGAAAGAGAAAATTGCACTATGATAATTTATCTTAATAAAGTGCAAAGAAGAATTAAAATTTTATACTTAGAGACAAACCAAAGATGCAAACTTTAGTTTGGGTCTGAATTTTTCAAATTTCAGGGGATTTAGGTTGAGATGTCTAGCTCAACCCATTGTTATGACAAACAAATCTGGATCTGTTTCTTTTCCAGTTTTTATAATTATTTAGATTTGGTAACCTTGGACCCACATATAGATTTGCTGTTCAGTTATTTCAGACCTTTTGTCTGTATTTTGGTAAGCCTGGCATCCAGTAACAGTGTTTGGATGATTACCATGAATGACCTGGCAAAAAAAAGGAAAGGAAGGTCTTCCAAAAGCTATGCTTCTGAAAAAAGATGTCTAATTTTGTTAATCATGGGAATATTCTGCTGGACATGCTTTTGTCTTTGCCTTCTTGAAGCATATTAGTGGTGGGAACAAGGGAGACATAATGTACATAATGTACATAATTTGATGGACATATAGAAATAAAGAAACCTGTTTATTCACAGTAGGAATCACCCCAGATCACACTGTGATTCCTGATATAAATCTCAACATGACTTTTTTAAAACATGAGTGGTCAAGTCAGCTCAAGTGCCCTGTACCCCGTCTTCTACTCTACGTAGGTTTAAGTGGGAATTCTAATATTACCTTAATAAGATGATGCTACTCTTTATATTTAATTGTGAAGGTATTTCTCACAGTGGAATGGTTACAACTCATTTATTTAATGTAAAAGTGCCATTTAGAGATGGGCTACCTGTTGAGCATCAGCCATATATTTTAGTACAACTCTAGAGAGGAGGAGAGTACAAATGTTTCTCCTATATGTTATCTTTGCTTTTCCTGAATCCTCAGGTTATCCATACCTGGTCCATTTCCTGGTGCAACATAAGCATTACTGTACTTTCCACTTCATTGTCTAGGGTTTTCATGGGCTGTTCTGATGGCTGGGGATTAGTTGAAAGTTACAGCTGCTAGACCCATATTATCCCATTGGCCATGGCCCAAGATCCTGACCAGGCTCCTCTGGCTCTTTTGAATCTCCTAGGAGCAGGTAAAACTGGTCTTAAGGTTATATTTTAGCTGGATGGAGCAAAAGAGCTTTTGTAGGGACTAACATCTGGTGCTGTAATGGGAGACATTCCAAGTGCTGAGAAGTGTAGCCCAGTGACAATGTTGATAAGTACTTTTGTGTTCAGTCTATTTCTCTTACAGGAAAGCTCTATTTTATGGAAGCAGGGCTCTGACAGGCTTCTTTAAAGCCATTGATCTTCTATATAGAAAATCTGTATATCCAAGCATAAAACAAGAGTAATCTGATTATGGAAGCTCGCTAGAAGAACAAAAGGGCACACTCGGGTTCTTCTGTGTCTGAATGGTGATTTTACAAGACTCAGATTTGGTATCCATTTTTTATTTATACTGGAGATGGATCCAAGCCTATGTTCTGGGAATGGAGGAGTTCATATCTGAGCAAGAGTCTGATGGAGAAAACAAGGAAATGAGCTATGGCAGGCAGAGAAGGCTACCGGGTAATTTGCCTGGAATGTAAAGTAAAGCTAATCTAGTAAATATTGATTACATTGAACAGAATATTCTTTTCAAATGGGAGCTTTCATACACTGAGTACCTCAAGGCAGTCTGAAATGCAATGAGAGGTGTCAGGATATTATAGAAAGTGGGGAGAGAACTTTTTTACATATAAACCCCATAAACAAATGTTTGTATGGCTCCATTTATCCCCATTACATCAAAAACAAATCCAGAGTATTGGTTTATAGTTGAATAATCTGTTTGCTCTTAAAATATCATAACATTTATTCATGGAAGTTAAATATTTCATAACCCATGGTTTAAGATATCAGTTGTCTCTCTGTATGTGTCTGCAGATAACATCTTGCAATCATTTGTGCCACACACAGTTTTGATATGAGACATGTTAACACTGGAATCCAACATGGGCAGATGAGCAGTTATCCAAGAGTAGCTGCTGTGGTAGGTGTTGTCACAGTGCCTCCCCAATATGTGGTAGGAAAGCATGTAATAACTTATATGCATTGGGCAAACCATTACCCCTGGATGGGCATGGACACATGATACCTACGCTGCCTTGTTATTTATGTTGTTGTTTGTGTGGAGTAACTCTAAATGGAACTTATGTAAGTTATCCTGGTGTAGGGCTGTATGTTATGTGTCCACTCTTTTTTCACAACTGTGTAAAGAACATTTATACCAATGCAAACATGTTGTTTGTCCAAGCCCTTAGGTAGAACTCACAGAAGTGGCTAAAAGTTTATTGGAATATAGAAACAGGTAGATGGTCTGAGGAGAACATCATGCATAAACTCCGTATGTTACAGGACATTTAAGTCTTGGGAAGAGATTCTGGCCTCATGCAGAAATTGTTTTTTTCTCCTGAGAGAGTCAGTGCTATCCCAGGAGAAACTGAGTATACAGATGTTCAGGGTTTTTTTTCTCAGAGTAAAAATCACCAAGTCCAGGAGAAAAATTATCTGGGAATAACCAGGGTTAAAATACTATAGAACAAATGCCTATACATGTTGTGGCTTTTTTCAGAAGAGAACATAGTTCTCCAGCGTTCCTCCCTGACTGTCCCTCCTCCCCACTGGGAGATGGTGTGTCATTCACTGAACTCTGCTGCTTCAGCAGGGAGCAGAACATGCTCCCTTCATAATCCCACATTGTGCTGCAGGGAAACTGATCATAGGCAGTCTGGGTCAGCCAAACAGGGCTGTCCTATGTACTGCTGCCATCTGTCACCAGACAGACTAAGCAAGCCTGTAGAGCACACTGAGATGTGTGCATAGGGCCCCCATTCCCAGCTGTAAAGTGTCAGCACTGCAAGCTTTCCACTCTTCAGACTTCAGCATATTAATATCTGTACATGTAGTTCTGTGTATTTTTTTCTAGTAGGAGAACAAACCTGGGAGAATTGTCTTAGATTATTTGAATGTGTGAATACAGCCTTGGGTACTGGTCCACTTTATGTGGATTGTATTCAAGAATTTTGTTTTATGCTTTGATTAAGCATTTTTTTTTTAAAAGGAAAACTTACAACATTCACTGACTCTTCAACAACTGCTTATTGGTGATTAGCTGGTGTAAATGAGCTAGTGTACATTGCTATAGTTCTATTGAAGTCAAAAGAAAATCCAATATGATGAATGTTTACAGTAGGCCATAAAAATTTTTGGAGGCATCTAACATCTAAAATAATTTGTTTGAAGAGCTCAGATTTAATAGTTTTAATTTAATCAGACCTTTAAAGGACACACTTCATGTCTGAATTATCATCGGTGTGTAGCTGATGGCAAAGTACCAGATTCTGGTACCCTTCCACATATAAAGAGGTACTTTCTGCTGCTAGTGACACCCCTAAAAACTACTGTAAAATTAAATCAATGGGACGGTTCATGAAAAAAAAGATATTGCTCAGATTGGAAGTGGTATCAGAATCCAAACAGAAGGGATTAAAGGTAGTGAAGGCCAATGAAAATATCTATGTCCTAATTCCTGACAGGAATCCTAACTCCAAATTTAGGGGAAACCAAGCTGCACGAGAAAGAAAAAATTGTTTTGAAGAGCAGGAGTGAAGGTGGGTGGGCAATAGGAGGCACTCAGTTATTTGTAAGTAATGCTGTTCTAAGAATAAGCAGAGTGTGGTTTTAATTAACAGTGAGTCATGAAGTAGAAAGGTCTGCCAAATACTAGGCAGCTGTCCAACTCATTACCACCCCTAAATGGTTGTGCACTTGGAGCTAACGTGTCTACAGGACTTTTTTATTGGAACTCAGAAAATTTAAAACAGGTGAATGCAGCTGGAGGATGGCTCAGACTGCAAACTCTGAAAGGCACAATGCCAGTCAAAAGGTGTAAACGGTGGAAAAAAGAGGCCAGTTAGCTTCCCAACTGCAGCTGAAAGTAGAGTGATTGTGATTTGGTGCACATGGTGACTTGATATGCTGAAATGCAGATGCAGTATACACAGTCTAGTAGGTATTTAGAAAGAAAGCTACTTTTCTTAAGATTTTGGATGAATTGCCCAGTACTGTAAGGGATAGAAGCAAATCTGTTCAAGTTTTCATAACTTAAACTTTACAAGAGGAGTTGATCTTCATTAAAATATACATTAGTAGTTTGTCATGTAATTTTCTCTTCCTGTATTTATCCCTTTGTCCCTTCAATCTTGGTTCTTATAAATACTACCTACGGTGTTCTGAAGAAGGTGAGCAGAATGCTCTGGTCTACACTTTGTCCAAAAAGCTGCTTCAAAAGTGGACTAGGAGCAGGTTTAAGTGTAGTTTAAGAGCTGTGCTCCTTGGCATGTTCAGGCATGCATAGGAAATGTCCTCCTGCCTCCAAGTTTCATATCATCCAGCATCCTGCTGATGGTAAATAGAACCTAATAGGAAGGGAGAAAGGCTCAAACTCCAGTCGCTATCTGGGCACATCCCCAGCCTGGCCCCAATAGCAGTGGTGTGCAGCCTGCACAACTGCTACAAAGACTATGCTGGGACCATGGTCTGTGTCCCAGGGTAGAATGGGGATGGAGCCTGCTGGCACAGGGTGGGGGGTGGAGCAGAGGCTGTGAGGGAGGGAGGAAGCAGAGGCTAAGTGGGAAGGTGAGAAGCAGAGGTTGAAGGAGAAGGGAAATAGAGGCTGAGGGAAGGAGCATATAGGAGGAAGAAGTGGCAGGGGACAGGCACAAGCAGGGGATATGCTGCTTGTCTTCCCCACAGTATCTGCTCCCCCATTGCCTGCCCCTCTGCAGCAGTTGGGGGAATGACTTAAAGATGACCCTCCAA